GCAAGTCTGTGTCTGTGTACAAAGTGCAGCAACAAAAAGCACAAGTGTGTCCCACTAATAAGATACAGAAGAATTCATCTCTACGGCATGTGCCCATGACAATTCTGATCTTCCAGGCTAACGTGTGGCCACATTACATCTGATTGAAACCATTGTTCTCAATGGGAGGTGCTGAGTTCCTTTGACAATTAGGCTCTTCCTTCTTTCCAATACTGGTAATATTCTCCTGTATTTTTTGGTTCATGTGGTAACTGCAACCTGTTGTTATTCCACATTATCAACACACACAGAGCTTCTTACGCCTTCAGCCACGGTCCAACAGAAACAATCCTGAAGTTGAATTTGAAACCTGATGCATGCAAAGTTAAACAGTAGCTGACTTTTTCTGTTCATTGGCTGATCCAGACTACTCATTAACTCTAAAAATGCCCCAAAGGAGGAAAGGGCGCAAGCTAGGTCGAATCTCTGCTGCCAAGGACTAACGACTGCCAATCCATACCATGGTCAGGCAGCTTTGCTTACCAGCTGTATTCCACACCGGAGCCCCAGAACTTGGAGTAGATTGGTATTTGTAAGTGCTGGCTTTTATATTTAACCTTGGCCAATCAGAATGCAAAAAGCGAGGAGCTGGAGTCTTGTTTAAGACAACACCTTCTCCCAAAGGCCTGGAAAAGCTTTTGGCTGCAGGAATCCACCCGCAAAGCTGAATTGAAAGAGCGGTGTTGATTGTAGATTCCTGGGACTCCAGCTAGACATTTTTCCTTCTGTAAAAATACTGTCTTTGAAATGGGAGAACAGGGAAGTCCTGGCAAGGGCTAGAACATGTTCCTTCTGTCTATGGATTAGACACCACAGTTAACTGCTAACCCTATAGCACCGTTAAATAGAGCAGCCAACATATTTCCAACCCGATTGACGTAGAGAAGATGGACAGTGTGAGGTCAAACTGATCAAGCCATTGGAATTTTGGGTAGCACAGATCTACTTAGATATGTATGATCATAACACAGAGTGATTCTTCATCTAGTTTACAGCATCACAGTGAGAACCCTCCACCCCCAGATCCAATGAAGAGCAGCTCTGATTGTATCGATGTCAGATTCTGAGTCAGAAGAATGATTGTGTGAGGCAGACACCTGTGCATGGGGGAGTGCATGGCTGTGTGTGTGTTTGTAATGACAATGCGATACAGTGCATGGGGATGTGATAAAGATACAGTTATCAACACACCTATGACTGCATCTGCAAGTCATTAATCTACCTCCTGGGTTTTAGTCTAATACTCCAAACCCCTGAGTAGCTTCCAGGATTTACTACTTAGCTAGATCACCAAACCCTTTCCTTTCTGGAGCTCTTTTCCTGACAGGTTTTCTAATCAGAGTTTCAGGAACATAGTTCCAGGTTATTCCCCAAAACAGAACTTGGTGAGTATTAAACCTTGTTCTTTAGGATCTGTCTCAGCTTAAGACTCAAATCTTGTTCTTTAGGATCTGTCTCAGCTTAAGACTCCTACTTGCAAATGTATTTTCATTCCTCCTGTGTGTTAGAATGTGGCCTGGGCAGCATTAAAACCCTAATCCACAAAAGCAACAAATACAAAACAAAAATATTAGGCAGGCAGTCTCCTCTGCTATCATTTAAAAATAACTGGAAGAGAAAGTAAGAAAAAAGTGTTTTTATCCTCAATGTTGATGTCAAATTGCTTTGCAAGACACTGGGGTCTTATTCCTGCAATTTTCCGTACTCGGGCAGGCAGTCCTGTTAGGTTCAATGGGACATTTAGGCCTTCGCTACTTTGTTAGCATCAACTAACATTTATAATCAGGGTGGGGACTGCCGAAAACCTTGTCGCTGTAATGCACGGAGGCGGAGATGTCTGAAAGTGACTAGTCAGTTGAATAGCTCAAATTTTTAATGCCCAACTTGCAAAATTTCCCAGAGGGCCTGATTTTGAAGGGATCTTATGCTGTGGGACCCCAAGTTCTGAGTAACCCCAGATTGCGAGCTACTTTTGAAAATGCTGTTTCTACGTTGACTGGAAGCCTAGGCAAAATTTCACACTGGAAAGGAAGGCAAAGGGGGTTAAATTAAAAAAATAAAGTACTCTTGCTCCAATGCAAACTTAAGCAATTAAAAAGCACTAATTTCCATTGTCACATTCTGCTAATGCCTTGCAAAACTGAATGCAAATATTGTCAGCCCTGAAAGGCCTCCATTAGTTTTAGCATTCCCCCTCCCCCTCCACCCCCCGCAGCTATTTATGAATTCTATAAACACACGAGGAATCATTACCAAAGAAGGTTGTTCCAA